ATTGGCCTATAGTTTTTAATTTGGTTGTGATCAGTGTCTTCTTTGGGGTTTAACAAAGTATATGCTTCTGTCCATGATTTGGGTAGCTTGGCATGCTCCAATACATCATTATACAGCTCCAACATCACTGGTGCAAAAACATTCATACAAACATTTATCAATTTCTGTAGGAAGACCACCTCGCCCTGGAGTCTTATTATTTTTCTGTTTTTTAACCGCCATATCTAATTCTATGGGTGTTATTTCTCTATTTAATATGTCCCTCTGTTCTTTACTTATTTTTGGTAGACCTTTCTCTTTCAAATATTGTTCTATATTTTCTTTGTTCATCTTATCCCCCTTGTATAATTGTTCAAAATATTTTTGAATATTTTGAATCTCTGCATTCAATATTGTAGTTTTCCATTTTCATCTCCCAGCTCTCTTTCTATTTTTAACTTGTAGGCTAACCACCTCCCAGGCTTATTAGCATGCTCAAAAAAATTCTGTTTCGCTCTTTTGACCTCCTTTACTCTCTCTTCCTGGTTCATAATATTTAACTTATGCTTAACTAGAATCATTTCCCTTCTCATTTTCTCATCTTGTGGTGTTTTTGGTAATCTGCTTTCTAACTCTTTAATCTCCTCCTGTAGCCTGTTTGTTTTCCCCACCTTTCTTTATTTCTTTTAGCCATACAGGCTATTGTTATTCCCCTCAAATATGCTTTTCCTGTGTCCCATAATATCTGTATTGAGGTTTGTTGGACAGCATTCTCCTTAAAAAATAGTTCCATTTCTGATTTAATTTTTGACACAATTTTTTTTCTCTTTTATGATCTGGAAGTTTAATGTCTATCATTTTTTCCTTCCCTTTCAAATTATTTTTAATGGATTGTGGTCTGCCCATAAATTTGTCATAATCTCTACTGCCTCTAATTCATTTCCTAGTTCTACATTCATCCACGCCATATCTAATCGTGACCACGACTTATACAGATTGGAATAGAAGGTATATTCTTTTTTTCCCAAATTTAATCTCCTCCATTGCTCCACCAGATTCAATTCCTGAGTCATCTCAAAGAAGGATGTTGGCAGGCTTTTCCTTTTCTTTTTATATTTTATACAACTAATATAATCCTTTCTTATGTCTGCCACTGCATTAAAATGCAGCACTATACATATATTTACTTGTCCAATTTCTAAAATTTTATTATGTAAATTACTATAGAATTGACTTTGATTTTCATTCAGGGCATAAATTACAACTAATAACATTGGTTTCTGACATATTACTAATTCAAGTATTAGCACTCTTCCGTTGGGGTCTACATATTTTTCTAATGCCTTTATTCTTTCTTTGATGTATACAGCTATCTCCCTCTGTTTCTGATCGGCCAGAGCTGTAAATAACCTTCCTAGTTTGGGGTACTCTAAGCATTTCCAAAACTGTTCTTTAATATGCACTTCTTGCAGGTATATTGTTTCTGCTTTTTGTTTAGCCAATCTCATTAGTATTTGTTTTCTTTTAATAGGTGAGTTCAGTCCATTGATGTTTAATGATATTAGCCTGGTTTCATCTTCCATCATCCTACCTACGGGTTGGTATCTGCCTTCTATTAATTCTCATATCTCTTTATGGGTGTGATCTTAGTTTCATTCCTTCCTTTTTTCCTTGTTCAATTTCCTCTTTACTACTTCTTGTTCAGTTTCTCCTAGTTCCTGTTGTTGGTCTTCTTGGCTCCCTGTCTCTAGCTCATCCCTGCTACTGCTTTCTTCTTCCATTCCTACTATTTGGTCATACAGGTCCTGTGCTTTATCCAAATTGTCTATTTTCAGCCTCTTCTCCTGCCATGTTACTAACATCCCTTCCAGTATAAGCCATTGTAATGCTACATTTCTTTTAATCAGTTGTGTTGCCAGAAATTTATAATCTCTTCTGTACTCACATACTTTCTTTGGGATCTGTTTTAAAATTTGTATCTCTTTACCTTTATATATTAACGGTTCATCCCTTGTTATTTTGTATATTATGTCCCGTACCTTCTTCCTAGAAAACCTAACATAGACTTCTCGTGGTAGTCTATTATGTCTCGCATAGCTGGTTTGAATTCTATAGGCTTCATCAATTTCTAGCAGGATGTCTCAACTTTCTGTCTGTAAAACTGGTGCAATTAGATCTGCCATGATAGTGCTCAGGTCTTCCTCTCTGTTCTCCATGAAATTCTGGAACCTCAAGTAGAAAGCAGCACGGTCCATTTCGAGATGTATAATTTGTTCCTCTAATTCTTTATTCATTGTCATGTCTACTTTGTCTTCTAACTTGTTGATGTTCCCCTTCATTTCCACATGGTTCCTTGATATGTTCTCCTGCATCTTCATCTGGTGCTCCTGCAACTTCACCATGTTCTCTTGGATTGCCAGCAATGATGTTTGTATTGTGTGCATGTTGGACATTGTACTTTGCTTTTCGGCCCCCAATATTTCCTCAATTGTCTTCTGGCCAGCAGGGGATGAGACTGTCAATACTAGGCTGGGTGATGTCTTCTTTGTCATTCTCAAGGTTGATGTTATGGCACTTGTCATGTTTTTGAAACTTCTATTTGCTTCTGCCCACACAAGCATCCACTTTATGTTCTATTTCAAAGTTTTACTTTGGTTGATCTCTTTTTTTTTCTTTTCCTTTCCTACTTGTTTATACTTGTTTTTTCTTTAAAACCTTCCCCAATTTATCGAGTTTTCCTTATCTTAAACATTTAAACCTTCCCAATTTACTGTATCCCTACCAATCACAAAACATACCTATCTACCTCTCAGCCAAGCTCTTTCTCACTATTCCTATCCTACTTGTCCTGTTTATATACATATTATAATTCCCTTTAATCCATATACTAAATGTTCTTAATCAATTCTATTAAATACTAAATATGTTAGATTTAATGTATGTAACAATTCATTAATGTTCCAATAAGTAAAATAACAATAGCACTCTTATCAATATAACAAACTAATTAATCAATATTTCTCTTACAGAAAGAAAGAAAAAGAAAATATGCTTATTGGTTATAAGTTAGAACTTAATTATGCATAGATATAGAAGTAGTATAAATATTTCAGTATAGATATATTAATGCAGATTATAATAAATTATAGTAGAGCACAGGATATAAATAGTGTATAACTATAAATATATAAGTCTTATCTTAAAGACATAATTAATCAAACAATATCTATAAATCCAGGTTTTTTTTCGCAAAGCTCCTTAGGTTTTTTCATTCAGATTTAGCCACCAATCCAAAGTTTTAAACTTAATCACTCACTGTCAGTACAGTCAGAAACTATCTTTCAGTCCAATTTCTATTATGTTGTCTCTAGCGTTCGTTCCTCCTCTTTCCTCACGTCTCAGCTCTATTTTCTCTTCTGCTACTTTCCGTATCTCTTCTCCATCTTACATTTCACACTTTCTCTTTGTCATTTCAATCTCCTTCAGTTCAGTGTCCATCTTGTCGATCTCCTCTCCACACCTCACAGGTCTCACCATCTCCTTCAATCAAATGTCTGTCCAGTCCTTCCACTTGCCATTCTTGCCACTTCCTTCCTTCTCATTTCAATGCCTCTGCTTTCCCGGTTCCTTCTTTAAATCTTTCAAATCCTCTTTCTTTTTTCCGTATCTTCCTCTGTATATCCACTCATCTTTCCTCGCCACCTCCTGCCATACTAGTATGACAGGCACTTTCACTTTGGGTTTCAGGAGTTTCCTTACACGGCGGTGAACAATCGCCTTTCATCTCACCGTTATCCAGGCTTCCCCTCTATTCCACTCGCCTGTCCAGGCTCTTCACACCCCTGAAGGGTCCCCAAAGCAAAAGAACGGGTTCCAGGAACCGAAGAGACCATTCTCCTTCTCCCCTTTCACCATGATCTCACCACCGGAAGTCCCCAGTGCTACCACATTATAAATTATATTTCATAGACTGGGAATAAAATTCTTGGCTGAAGCATATTAAATGTCATTGGGAATTTTGAAGATGAATTTTGGGGGGTTTAGAGACAAAAATCCAGAACAAATATAGAATAAAATTAATGTACTTTACTATGACATATTCATGCTTAAAATATGTAACTTAAGTGAAATGAACTTAAATTCTAATATTGCAGGAACGTAAATATAAAGTTAATAGGATAACTGAGACCTGGCAGAATGATTCTCAGAATGTAACAGGTGAGACATACAACTTTTTCAAAAGGAATAGAAGCAGAAATTGAGGAACAAATGTACTTTATGGTAAAAAATAGCTACATATGCTCAGAAATCTAAGGAAATGAACTTGTTGATCTTGCTGAAAACAAACAGTTCCAATAAATGAAGGAATGTTTTATCTCTAGTACTACTCAGCCTATAGAAGAGATGGATTATCACTTGTAAGAGCAAATGGAAATTCTTTTGAAAATCATGCAGACACAAATTTTGGCAAGCACAATTCAAATTTTAAAAAATGATGAATATATCAGCTTTGCAAAAAGATAGCATTATGCCATTTCTACTACGGTTCACTTTTCTCTGATAACAGTATATATGTTTCACTAAGCCATCATGAGAAGCTGGGGGAATTGAAGATTCAAGTCAGGCCTGACAGAAATATAAGGCAAAGGGTTAGGGCCTTGTTCTTCAAATTTACAGCGCCAAATCATCCACAAGCACTGCTAGTTGTCTAATCAAACGCCATCTGTTTCCTTGAGAAAGTGAAAAAATGCAGGGATTACATGCAATAAATGGGAAGATTTTAGATTTGACAATAAATTGTTGTTCTCTAAGTATCATGAAATTAATGGAATTATTACTAATATTCAGCATCTCTATCAAAACATACCATTGTTAAATTTGGGCATTTTTTTGTTTCATCCTAGTATATTGGAGGAACCCTATGGACAAAATACATCAAAGAATTTTATAAAGTGCTCCTGATTAATACAATTATAATTAATAATGTACTGCAGCTTAGACTTGAAAACAAATATACAAACCAGAGTGAGGTATCAGGCAGGATACCAGAGGATTCAGATCCTGTGTTCGGTATTCTTCCACATTTTCATGAATGACTTGGATGAAGAGAGAAAGGGAACATGTATTAATTAGAACTACAGATGACATAAAAGTTATCACAAAGACAATATACTAGAATAGAAAAACAGCAAGCAAAATTATCTTGAAAGGTTAAAGAAATAGATTAAAAAGAACAAAATGACATTAAATAGAGATGAAATCTTTTTTTTGCTTAGAAAAGGGAATCGAGCATATAATAATAGGGTTTGGAACAATACATGTGAAAGTATGTTAGAATTACACATGATAACATGCTGAATATGAGTCACCAGTATGGCATAACTGCTAAAAGGCAAGCATAATTTTAGGCTGCTTCCAAAGAAGTTAAATTTCCAAATCACAGGAAGCAATAGTTCCATTTTAGTCTGCTTCCATTCTGAGACCACATTTAAGAAATAACCAGGAAAACTGAAAAAAATTCAGAGAAAAGCAAAACAGATGATCAGGAACTGGAAATTAAACCTTATATGGAAAGAATATGGCTACAGAGATTTTTCAGTTTTGAGAAAAGGTTACTAAGATTCCTACTAACAGGAACACACAACAGAAAGTCAAAGTCAACCTCTATTGTATCAAAGAACAAAGAGCAATGTTCTTCTCCTATCTCCTTATAAAAAGTTCAGTGTCAGCCGATAATGATTACAATAATTTTTGAAGCAAAAGCCAATTAGCCAGCCTGCCACCTGTCAGGGATTCTCTAGGGTGAATTCCTACTCTGAGCAGTGGATTGAATAGCATCCTGGCCTTGTATTTCTGTGAATATCTGAACATACAATGTTTATTGCAGGAGAATACAATAGTAGGATTCAATAAAAATGACAATACTATCAATATAGTTTTGATTTTTCTTCTGGTACACACTAACCATTGCTTAACCAACTTTTATTAAATAAACCACAAATGGCCAGCCCCCCAAAATTCAAATGAGCCACATAATGCCTTAAGCCAATGTAGAATCCAGATTTAATGAGAAAAATTCTATGTTGTGCTGCACATATTGAAAACACATGAGGCTGTAACTTCCTATGTAGCATTTAAACTGGGGTCCCAAATCCCAAGGCCATGGGGCACTATTGGGCCACAGCCCATTTGGGACTGGACTGTGCAAGAGACAGTTGAGCACATGCATGCAAAGCTCCCTTTGCACAAGCAGAAGGCACTTGCACTCACACGCGATGCTCCCCTCGTGCTTGCACATGAAGTACTCCTTGTGTAAGGGGTATGCCTACCTGCCACTCACAGGGAACCATTCCCCCTTCCCCTCCCACTAAGCCAGAAAGGTTGGGGACTGCTGATTTAGAAGATACATACTGGTAATTCTTTGCTGGCTCACCCTTCCGCCCAAATAAAATTGTTGCTTCAGAAAAAAAAGTCCCCATTTTATATTCCATTAGGCACTACAAGTAAACAGGTAGTCCTAAACTTATAATCATCACAGCACCCCCATGGTCATCTGATACTTCATTTAGTAACTGAGGTTACAATGACAATGAAAAGGGGACCTACAACTGGTCCTCACACTTATGACCATCACAGCATCCACACAGTCATCTGATCAAAATTCAGATGCTTGGCAATCAGCATATATTTATGATAATTGCAACCGCCTCAGACAACTTTTGACAAGTAAGAGAGAAGCCATTTAACGACCGTGTGATTCACTTAACAACTGCAGTGATTTGGTTAACAACCAATGCCAAAAATGTTGTAAAATCAGGCATGGCTCATTTAACAACCACCTTGCTTAACAATGGAAATTCTGGACCTAACTGTTCATACATCAAGGACTAGCTGTATATAAAAAAGCGAGGACACCAAGGAAGACAGCACTCTGACTGGGTAATCCATTGGGGGAGGATACTGTATCATTACTACAATACCAGTCATTGTGTGTGGAGGGGTACTGTTTCATTAACACAACCCTCAGCACATCTAGAAATAATTCTTAATTTCAACCTGCTCCAAAGCAGTACCTTAGTTCCTTACATTATTTTTGCAACCAGGTCAACAGTTCAGAGGGGTTAGGAATTCATGAGCAGGTAATAAACATGCAGTTGAGCAAAAAGCTGGCAGGAGCCAAGTTACACAGAAATCCCATGAATGAATGGCAAATGAATGGGGACCCACAGTTTATATATACCTTTGCAATACAGTATTCTGGCCATCAGCTGGCAGCTTTATTGAATCAGTGGGCATAGTTCAAATCATGATTTCTGGGAACTCAAAGCAAACATTGGAGCTTGGCAGTTTTATACTTCTCATTCAACCTTTATTCAGCGAAACTGAAACATGTTTCAGCTCAGACCCATGACTTCTGGAAAGCCTAGCAGAAGGAAGATAGCAGGCAGTCCCTAGATTTTAGTAGGCATTGCAAGCTTCTTTTCCCCTTTACCAGAGATTAAGCTTCTATTAAAAGAATGGGAGCAAAGATAAAACATATGTTTTTTCTATCATAATAGTTTAATAGAAAATGAACACTTTTTAAAATATTTAGCAAACATTCCAGGGAATGAAAACTACTGGGATTATATTGAGATAATGGCAATTCAGATCCAGTTACATTTTTCTATTTGACATTTGAAAAGAACAGGCTACCTGCTTGCAAAACTTCCACGGGAGCCTGATCTTGGCTCAAACTCTGTATGTCTACAGATCCACTCTAAATCTGTTATTGTTTTCTTGGGGTTTGTGGGGGGGTTTTTTTGTATGGAAAACCACAGGCTTCTATTTCAAACTTATCACAATTGTCATCTATTGCTAACTATCGGAAATTCATCTCAAACGTGACTGCCTTAGAAATATCAGCTTCATCGCTATTACCTTTTAATTTTATTTCATTTTTACTTTAGGAAGACAAAAAGGCAAGCCGAAAAGAAGATAGATAAGCCGAAAAAAAGAGCGCGAAAGATTCTCCCTCCTATCCTGCTCAGAGAGACTTGATTCAGCCTGAGTATTAGCTGATCAGCAAGGAAGCAGGGGAGTTTAAAGTCAAGCAGCAACAACTCTCCCCAAGCCTGCCAGTTGTTCTTTGCGCTGCTTTTCAATGCAGGGCTCGCGTACACAAGCCCCGATTCAGTTTCGGTCTGCGGAACCCACGCCGCAGCAGTTGGAACTTGGCCCGGCAGAGTCGGAAAGAGGTGGGTTTTCTCGGTATTTTGGGTGTGCAGCTGCCGGAGGCTTCCCAAACGGGAGCCAAACAAAAAACAAAAAAAACCCCAACAACCCTACCCCGAGGGTTATTGACAAGGGTTAGCTCCGACCTGCCTTGCTCTTCCCACTACATTCTGTCCCATTGCCTTGGCTTTTCCCCTCCGGACATTCCGGGTATTTTGTTCCCAGAGCTGCTGGGAATAAGGCGCTTCCACTTTCATTCTCTTAGAAATTGGGAAAGCACCGCGGGAGTCTAAGGGGATAAAAGCGAGGCGGAAGCCCGCAAAAACCTGACACCACACTCGGCGAAGCTGTTGCGGAGAAGTACGCCGAGGACGGCGCGGGCAGGGAAGAAGCCAGGTGGGTCGCAGGCTGAGGGGGGTGTGGGGAAGGCGCTTCGCTCGTCCGTCCGTCGGTCGATGCCTGGCCGGCCCAAAAGAGCGCAGGGCGCATGCCCTTCTCGGATATGGAGACGCGGCTGAGGGCGCACCATTCGCCTTACCATGGGACATGGTCCGCGAGCCGGACGCCGCTTGCTCATGGTGGAGCCTGAGTCACGTCCATGGCGCTACCGTCCCGGTGCAAAATCCTGTCGACGGCGTCTTGTGCCGAAGCTGCGAACGGGCAGCAGAACGAGCTTTCCGTAATAATTAACATTAAATAAAAAGGCTGGGCGGGGAGCCGTTCTACAGCCTCGTCTTTAGGCAACTTTGGAGGTTAGTTGAGCGGAGGGAGAGGAAAGCGTGAGGAGCTGCTCTTGGAGTCGAACCAGGATTGCTTTTTTTTTTTAAACCGCCGAGAACTTCCGTATGGGCCGAACTAGTTTCGCTTTCCGGCTAGAACGAGCGCCGCTAGTTTCGGACGATTTCAGCCCTTCGAACTCCCGGCTGCGGTCGAGTCGCGCATTTTTCCACCTGTCAAAGGAAGCTCAGAAAGGCGCGCACCCACTGCGCGGCGCAGATGTTTGCGCCCTGCCTGGCCGCGCGGTTTTCCTACCGCTCCTCCTCTCCCTCTCGCGCTTCTCCTCGGGCGCCGATGGAACTGCTGGAGGCTTTTCTCCGGGATGACAGAGGAGGTGGAATCACCCTCGTCTCCACTCCACCAGAGGGTTTGCCAAGGCTCGGTTAACGCGTGGAAAGAACCATTTGTGCGAATGGCAGCAAGTGTAACGCTAGGGCGGGAGTCCTCCCCAAGGGAGTGGGCTGGCAAGTTTGGTGCTTAGGCTTCGCGAGACATGTGAAAGCGTGGGCGCATCTTCTCTACTCCCCCCCCCCCCCCGCTCACCCCTCCCGCAAATTGATCCCTGACCTCCTATCCTTTTTGTGCTCTGTATCTTAAACAAAGGATTATGGAATAATCTACAGTTCGTATCTGCTTTGGCATGAATGTCCATAAGCAGCTGGATGATCCCACAGCTTTCAAGTCATCTTCTATTGGTTACTACAGTTGTGTTTTGAAATGTGTGTGAGTGAGTGTGTAAGAGATCTTACAGTCAGATGGACACTATATAAATTCTGGGCTGAGAGCTTGAGATCCCAGTTTGTCTAACCATGGCACAAACTTTTTTTTGTCTTCCCTCATGTTCATATCCCAGGCTATATCTATAGTTGTCCTTATGTGTACCACTGTTAAAAACCCCTTTCTCAACACCAAACCCCATCCCCTGGGGCCATTCTGCTTTCAGCACTGGGAGAGTCCGGCTCTTTCAGACCAAACTCTCCCTCCTATCCTGCTCAGAGAGACTTGATTCAGCCTGAGTATTAGCTGACCATCAAGGAAGCAGGGGAATTTAAAGTCAAGCAGCAACAACTCTCCCCAAGCCTGTCAGTTGTTCTTTGCGCTGCTTTTCAATGCAGGGCTAGCATAATTGCAGAACAACGGTAAACCTGTGTCCACTGCCATTAGTCTTCGTACATATCAGTTGTCCTTTCTTTCTCAGACTAATCCTATATTCAGAAGAATGGTGGTGAAGGGATGTAAACTTGGCTCCGGGAATGGGGAAAGGATGAATGAACTATTAAGGGAGGAGGGAGGAGGGAAGTGGTTCATAAAATATGACTTAGTCCTGGGAAAGAAGAAAATTGAGAAATAAACTCAAAAATACCCTGCCCTGGTTTTGTTGAAAGTAAGAAATAGCAGAGACAAACTGACCTATTTCAAGATTATAAATATATACTACAACAGTAAACAACATTTGTGAATGGAATGGAATGGAATGGAATTGTTTATTGGCCAAATGTGATTGGACACTCAAGGAATTTGTCTCTTATACATAAGCACTCGGTGTACATACAAGCAACAAGTGATAAATCATGAACATAGTTATAAAAACACATGAATCATAAATCATAAGATACAATACTTAGTGATAGTCATAGGATACTAAATATGCTGCTATAGAACTTATACAAGAGTGTGTTCAAATCTTCAGCTAAGAGGAAGAGAAATCCAACATCTGTTTTTCAATGTGACATTGTATATCAAGTAGTGTAATGTCTCTGTCCATAAGAAATTACAAACCTAAGAACCGTTTGAGTGTAGAAAGACACTATGGCTTGAAGTTGATGATGATAGTATCCATTCAGTCATGTCTGACTCTATAGTTAGAAGCTAGGAGTGTGTAATCATAATGTGCCTTACTGAGGATGGAAACAGGAGGGCATCGTGATCATGGACCATTTCAAATGTTGAAAACTAAAGGATTCAGAGAAAATTGGACATTTCATAAATTTATGGCAGTAAAAAAATAAATTAGAGCATATTCTCATCACATCCATTTTCTGGTGAAGCATGGGCTATGTTTCTCCTTTAGCACATTTTACTACATGAAACGCAATGTCTTTTGCTGAAGTATCATAGAAGTAAAGACTGTTTTTAACTGAGTTTAGCTGCTTATGTGAGTTTAAAGAAGAAATGATGAAATAAGACAAATAGGGAAATGTTTCTGATACCATTTCCACATTACCTATATATACTTTATAACCTGTTTCCCTTTTCATTTACATTGTATACAGTACTCTCTAGTTTTCAGATCTTTGTTTTGTGCAACTGTGCTGGTTTTTGATACTTTTTTTCTTTCTTTTCCCCCCTCTTCAGTGGAATTTTCTGCAGCTTCCTTTTAATACGAAACTTTTTAAGGAACTCTTGTTAATTATTCTTTTTCGAACTGCATCTTCTTCTTTTAATTCCATTTATCCCAGAATCTGGCTAACCTAAAACCCTTATTCCTAGGAGACTGAAGTAATTATCTTATATGTAAACAATCCTCAGTAAATTCAAGTGCTTATTGGTTTAAGACATCATACTAAAAATGGAGAGACGTGACTACTAATCTTGCCTTAAGCTCTTGCTCCTGAACAGACATAAACTTTAGCTGCTTGGAACTAGATTCTTCAGTTTAAGGCATTTAATCTCAGCTACCTGAATGCAGAACTATAGCTATAGAATACCTTCCTAAATAGAATGTAGTTTGATGTACCAGGCTACATGGAATAACCTCAAATGATAGTTTCAAAAGAAGTAAAAGTGCTGCTATACCTTCCCAGGGTTTGAAGCCTTCAGAGCAAGGCTGTGTCAACAAATCTATCCATGTCTGAATTTACATTTATCCATACTGAATCATAAAAATTAGCAAATAGCAAATTATAATACTTAAATCCCACTTACTAGTATATAACATTGTTATAGTACACATAAAGTACCAAAAGATGTTGATAGAGGTCGTGTCAGATATCTATGGGAAAGTCAGCTATTGTTCCCTACCAGCTTCATTTTAGTAATATGCTGCCCTTAAACATGGAAGCAGAATACCATCAAGTATAAATGCTGATATTTTTATTTTCTTCTAATTTCTCCAATAACCTTCTAAAGCCATCCTTACTGATGTCATTTATAATACCTTGTATTAACAAATTTCATAGTTTAACTGTATGGAGAAGTATAGGTAGTCCTTGACTTACAATAGTTCATTTAGTGACTGTTCAAAGTTACAATGGCACTGAAAAAAGTGACTTATGATCATTTTCACACTTATGATCACTGCAGCAGTCCTGTGGATTCATGATCAAAATGCAGACACTTGTCAACTGACTCATATTTAGGATGGCTGCAGTATCCTGGGGTCATGTGATCACCTTTTGTGACCTTCTGACAAACAAAGTCAATTAGGAAGACAGATTAACTTAACAACCATGTTACTAACTTAACAACTGCAGTGATTCAGTTAACAACAGTGGCAAGGAAAGTTGTAAAATGGGGCAAAACTCACTTGACAAATGTCTCTCTTAGCAACATAAATTTTGGGCTCAGTTGTGGTTGTAGGGTGAAGACTACTTATAGTTCCTTTTGTTTTTGCTATATCTTCTACCAGTCCATTTTATTAGTCACACTTACACAGATTACTCACTGAAGCATTTTGTAACAATAGTGCCATTAGGTTGGAATCTGAACAACTCAATTGCATTTCCATCTCACTGAAGGTAATCAACTTTATTAATGAGTTTAGTGAATTATTCATGTTGGACACAAGAGGACACATGTTTTGTTACATTGCCTTGCATCCATCATTTTATTTTTTCAATAAATCCCCAAACGTTACATCATAGGTAAATATGTTTTAAATGAGATAGAGACATTGTTTAAAAAGTTGGTAGTTTTATGTGCACAATAATCTTCCAAATTAGTACAGTGGATCTGAGAGCTGTCTGGGAAGGTATGGTGAGGGCCTAAAGAAAGAAAAAAATTGTATGGAGAGCTTCACTATGCAAATGGTTTTTAATTTAGCACAATCCAACTGGTTGTAACCCATTGTTTTTCAAATATTACTTGATCTGAAATCAGAAGCAATTGTTTTAATGTTTACTGCCAGTTTTATTTATATTATATACAAATTTCTCCCTACTTTTCAATCATTATGTAAAATCATTCATATCATTTCTTTATAATGTTATATACATTTTCCATCAGTTGTTAGTAGCACAACATGTCCTTTTAATAATACTAGTTTAAATTGAGATAAATGACTTGTCTAAAGGCAGATGGAGACATGACTGGAAGTTAACATGAAGATTGATTTCCGAGACAAAACAGAACTGAGCTATGTATAATAATAGTCTACAGAAGCCTTCTTTCAAAAAAGAAATGTCATATAACACAAGTCTTTGATTTGTTAATTCTTTATTTTCCTACATGTTACTATAATAACCAAGAGTCACTTTGCTGTATTGTTAAGGTAACAGCTTGGAAAACAACGAGACCAGAAGTTCTCGTCCCACTTTTGGTCCAAAGCCAGTGATGGCTTTGGCCAGTCACTTTATCTCTAGAGTAACTAGAAGGAGAAGGCAATGGCAAATCAATTTTGCCAAGAGAATTGCAAGGACTTGTCCAGGCAGCCTGTAAGAATCAGACACAATTGAATGGAGAGAAAAAGCTCTATCACAACACTGCAATCATAGAGCTGCTGTTTAAATCTATTTGTCGTTGGATTTTGAATGAGAAAAATCTGGATTCCCAACTTAGTTTTAAATTGGCACTCGTATCACTATATATCTTGATATATATCCTTTTGCTCTGTTCCTGAGTTTTTTTAACCAACTCCAACAAGGGTTTCTGGGTTATATGATTTTTAATTTTGTTTATTTTTCATTTTTATTATAGTGAATGAAATATAATAAAAATATGGTAATAAACTGAAACATAGCAAATAAAAATGAACAGTCATAAATATAAAACAATGATTAAAATGAATAAAAACATCCTTTCCCTTCCTTTTATTCCTAAAATGACATGCTGTTTCTAAAATTGAATTAATTCATCCTTTTTGGTTTTTTGGTTTTAATTCTTTGTTCTCAGCAATTATTTTTTCTATTTTTATCATAGTA